GAATCCTAGAAGTCTTGAAGTACCCCTGGAGTTCCTCCTTTGATTTCGGCTGCCTTTTCTGTTTTATAGGTCAAGATGGACCCAAACAAACTAAACAATGCTGGGTCTTGGATCTGTGGAGGCCTCACTAAGCATGTAAGGGTTTCATACGCTTTTGTTTTCTGTAGTGAGATACTGTTTGTATTTTTTCGTTGTATGTATGGTATAGTTATTGTGATGGAAAATTAAAATTTTCTGCTAATCGATGTCCAGAAGGAACAGCATCGTGAATAGGTATTTTCTTACATTAGGCAAAATCCAGAACTTCATCAATACTGTATAGATCACCAACTATAGTTTTGGTTAAATTCTGATTAAGAAGTTAGCACACAGGATCACGTATAAAAGCAGTAATGATTTTCAAACGAGACCCAGAACTCGAGCGCTTTCGAATAGTTCACTATTCTTCTTCAGGAGAATAAAGGTTGAAGAAAAATAGTGAAAATTATACGAAAGCGCTCGAGTTTTGGGTCTCGTTTGAAAACTATATAGTTTTGGTTAAACAGCCCCGTATTTGATATTACATTCACCATGCTTCACTGAAGGCTGCAGAAAACTTTCCTTTAATATCATACTATTCCTGCAACGAACATACTGAAGTCTCAGATTCCAACTCATCAGATTAAAGTAATGCTTCACATTCAAATTGCACAATTTGTTTTACATAATCAAACCTCTTCTGTTCGCTGCCTTTCCGGAAGAAAGATATATATATATATATTTGCTGTAATGCACCCTTTTAGCTTTTTTTTTTGTCACAACTTGCGTCGCACTGTTCAAGGGTCAACCTTAGCATCAGCGGTTTATTGAAGTTCTGCAGCACAGAAGCTTCTAGATTTACGTCTGTTTTTGAGTAAGTAAGCCTGGGGTACTTAAAATCTGAGCTGGAAAGCTTAGGGTTTTTTTGGGGGTCTCCTTTTGTCATCAGTCGTACTAATTTCATTTTATCTTTCAATTATTTTTGAAATTTAGTTCTTAATACTTTTGTTTTTGCAGGAATTTCTTACTGAATGGAACCTTTCTTATATAAAGATATCATACTTTGTGTTACTTCATCAGAAACTGTGCATCTTGGAGCCATACTTCGTACTATAAAATAGAAGAGTCATGTTAGAGCCACAGACTAAAGAAAAGCTTATCAGCTTTTTGCAAAAGCAAATATTGACAAACTATCAAGAGAAACGTTTTTGAACACTTTTACAACAGAAAATGAATAAACATGTGGGTTGCAACTTGATGTTGGACGTTGGTATAATATAGCCAAACCAGTACATCTAAAAACTATATCTCCCAGTTTTCAGAAATATAACTATAAATTATTAGATTCCAATTCACTTTTTAGAATTCAAACCAAACATACGATCTGCAAGATATTTTAAATGAATAAAGGTTTAAGATAGGCCTCATTACTGTATTTCATCCTGTACACTTTTTATTCTAATTTATGCAGAGTGATGTGTATATTTTAAAACACAAATTATTTCTTCCACTTTAAGGTAAACGTACTCAAATTGAAGCATTATATTTATGCATAAATGTACATAACATTTTTTCAAAATTAAAAAATAAATTGTTACAACTTTAAACATTCATTGCTGGAATCGAGGCTGTTTTACGTCTGTTATGCTTCAATATCAAAATCCATAAACAAGGCAATAAATTCGTAGCTAAAACAGGTGACCAGGAGTGAGATAATGGTTATCTTGCTTGGTACGGATTGGTTTATTCGTTGTTAAGCACAAACTACATAACGGACTATCTATGCTGTGCCCACCACGAGTATCGAAAACAAATTTTTAATGTTATAAGTCCTCTGAGTTATCGTTGAGCCACTGAGAGGACGGTACGGATCAAAAAGTTCAAGGTTCGATCAGCACTATACCCCTGCGCACACTGTGGTCTCAGCTGTGGTGTAGTGATATTCAATCTAGCTCTTCGATTATAGGTAGCTGTGTGTGTGACTGTTCCTGCTGACTGGTTTCCCTTCCTCTAATCAACAGTTCGAAATTAGTGATGGCTAAGCCTAATCTTTAGTGTGCCTCACCTGGCCTTTTAGCTCATGTGTCGCAGATTGAAAATACTAAATACGAAAAATTTCAGTGATCTACATAATTTAAATTAGTGTGATTGTATGATGCTGGAAATCAATAAGATTAATCAAAAAGTATAATTAAACTCAAAAATGAGCACAGTCTTTATATAAAAATTACTTTGTTGACCAGGAGACTGAGGCCAGAGCTTATCTCTAGCTGCGAAAGTGTTACTGAAGTTATAAACTGAAACTAAATAGTCAAAGAAAGGCAAATAGAAAATATAGTATATTTAATTATTTTACACAGTGAGTTTACATTATATAAATTAATATATATATTTATGTATGTTTTAGGCATTTCGGTTACTTTTTTTTCATGCCAATATTAGTTTGTTTGCTGGATGTCTTTAGAAATTTAGCTTACGACAGTTTTTTATCATAATAGCTAATGTGATCTAGGTTTCTAACAAATTTGATTTATATTGTGTAAAACGTATAGAGTATTTCCCGATGAATAAAAGTCATTTCACCACAACTTTTTATGCATAAAAGTAAGACAGACTTATTTAGCTTGAGATACAAAAAAATATTTTTAGTTTATTATATAGCAGAGTATAATATTTGTCTCTTTATTCAATTACTTTTATATCTATACATTTAATACTGCTTTAAGGTTGGCTTTTACCTAGCACCTGTAGTTGGAGACTTCGGTCATCACTACCCCAATTGTTTTTAGCTTGACACAAGTAGCTTCCCGAGTCGGCCCTGTTAGCCGAGTAGATGATGAGTTCTGACCTTGTGACGTCATCACTGGATATAGCGTCCAAAACATACCTAGTTTACAAAGAGACCAATCTTAATAAATTTTATTCATATTCACCATAGAATGATCATTTGAAAACTAAAACCACCGATTTAATCGTTTAACTTATAAGATACAAAACTCCAATTTTTTTTTATCACCCAGTTGTAAATGTGATATATGTTCTTTAGAAATTTTCGTAAGTTTTCAAGTAATATAAATATACCTTTGTTGACGTTCTATCTGGAGCTCCTGGTGATCCTTATACCAAACAAAATACACTGGCTTATCACCGTGGGCTTCACATGTGAGGCTCACGCTATTTCCTTCTTTCACAGTAAGTGACGTAAATTTTACTTCAAACGTAGGTGACGCTGTACAAATATAATTGGCGAAACAGGTGATTTTTGAAATCAATTACTTTTTTACATATCTAAATATTTTCCTTTTATTCTACATCCGTAATTAAAAGGAGAATTTTAAGAAAGGCTAGATTTGTAAAATTATTGTAATTTGAAAGTCCACTATGATAGTAGTGATATTAGTAAATATTTACTTAAAACAACCCCCCCCCCCAGTGGCACAGCGGTACGTCTGTGGACTTACAACGCTAGAAACCGAGTTTCGATACCCGTAGTGCTTAATTACAAACAAACTTAAAACAAAATATTAAAAATAAAAATTTAGTTCAAAAAGGGTGTCTTAAACATTTCTCAATGAGCTATCAGTTCTGTGCCCACTATAGGTATCGAAACCCGGTTTTTAGCTTATAAGTCCGCAGACTTACGGCTGTGCCACTGCGGGGCAACCATTTCTGAAATGAGTTAGTTATACACAACTAACATAATTTTAGGAGAACTGGAGGTAATTTACCATGAACATTAAGTTCAACGATGGTGCTTAATGAAGAATCAACTCCATTGCTGGCCTCACACATGTATTTGCCTTGATCGTTTTGCAACACCTGGTGGATGACTAGTGAACCATTGACTAAAGTCTGAATTCTGGCGCCGCTGATGACAGTATGATATTGCGTCGACAACTCATCTAATCGAAAGAAAAAAAATAAGTCGAATAAAAAGCGAACACGAAAGAATATGAGTATGTAATATGTACACCTCGAGATATTTGTGGATAATTTAAACAATTATTTTGTTTTTGCAAACGAGAGTGAATAGTATTATATTTTTACCATGATGAGAAATAAAATTTACGACTATAGGCGAATATTATGTCCTTATATTTTGGTGTTTCTAGCCTTTAATTGTTTTAATTTTCTAATGAAAGTAGATATACAAAAATTTTAAGATGAACAGTGTTAACTTGAAAATAATTTGTGTTTGTATCGTGTGGGCTGTAGATGGCGCCAGATGAATCAATTCGTATTAACATGCCGGCTGTACAACATCACTACGAAGTTTCTGTAACATTTAGAAATGAGTGCTACCATTTTTATTTATTTTTTTTTTTCAGAAAACCTCACTTTTTTGTGTGCGATTTCCCAACAAGGAAAGAAAAATTATACTGTGTATATGGAAGATTAAATTTATTTGCAGTTCCTATTTTCTATTTTAAATATTACTTTATAAAGAAAGAGGCATTACTTTTAAAGTGACCTTTCTTCAATAATTTCTGAAAACGAATATATTCAACTTTCAGTAAAACAACGTTTGGCTTAATATTCTTTCAATACATAATTCTGATTTTTGTTGCTTATAGGAAATCAGGAAAACACTATAAGTCAATCTAGTAAGCCAATCAGTCACGTTCATTACATACCTGTTGCTTTTTTCCATATCACACGTGGTTCTGGTCTTCCGAAAGCTTGACAGTGTAACATAGCGGAACTTCCGATAACAACGGATATGTCCATAGGCTCGACTTTCCAACGTGGTGGTGCTATGATGAATTTTTATATACTATATTTCATTATTTGATACATTTAATATGTTTCTCCTACTAAACATGACAAGATTTCACCGCTATTTAACTGCTAAAAACAAATTTTGTGTAGAAATATTATTGTTAAAAAATATACATACTGAATAATTTCCAGACTTCGGTTGTTTGAATGACAAAAGTTACTTTCATAGACGACAATCAACTTATCTGTCTTTCAGATATTTTATAGAATTCAGTCGTTAGTGATGTCTATAGCTCCTTAAAAGTATTAGTTATAGAAAGGTGAATTATATAGTGAAAATGACTTGAATGTAAATTAGCTCTAAAGTACAAATTAGCGCGGAAGGATGAAGCTTATGACAGTCCTCAAACAATTAGGTGCGGTTTTAGTTAATGAATTATAGATATTCAAAAATTACATCAAATTTAAGCTGTCGTGTGGCAAACGATAAAAATAAAAAGTATACTTGTTATCAACATTTGACTTAACGTACAATTTACAACCAAAGGTGAGGAGTAGTTCACAACTGCTGCTTCATTTGATGCAACACAAGTGTACGTGGCACTGTGATCTGACTGTAGCTTCTCGATGATTAATGAAGACATAAACATATTAGTCTGTTCCACTGATAGGTTCATTCTAGGTTCCAGTGTGACCCCATCTTTCAACCAAGTGATTTGAATCGGCGGGTCACCCTCTTGAACAATACACAATACACTGGTCCGAATGCCCTCTTTTGGAGCAGCAGGAAAGGAAAACGGTGTTATCACAGGCGGCACTAAAAGAAGTTTTATTTGAAATAATTAATAAAAAGTTGGGTAAAAAAGCTAAGTAACTAGATGTATTTCTGCAGGGACTTCGAAAGTGTTCTGTTTCAAGAGTAAATAAAACCAAAATTTATTTCTTGTTTTTGAAGTTCATATGTCATGCTGTGTTGTACCCTATAGAATATATAATTCTTCTCGTGATTCATGGCATTTTAATGACGTCACGACAGTAGAAATTGCAACGTTAACCATCCCTTATGTGAAATAATTTTAGTGTTTATTGACTAACTGACAGACAACACACTAATGTAGAGTGATGCGAGTGGTTAAAACAAGTGATCCCTCCAGACGGTTTTTGGCCACCTTTTGGGGAAATTACATAACAAGTCATTTTAAGCTCAACATTTTAGTTGTCTGGATATAAGTAATGGAACATTATAATCTAGATATGCATTTCATTCAATATTTCGAAATAATCAGCGGTGTGTGTTTTTCTTTGTATTTCACTTCCAATTCTTATGGAATTTTGAAAAAATAATTTCTTTTTGCACGCATATTTTCTTTTAACTTTATTCTCAAAACTTTTTTTTATTAGCTTTTTCATCTCCAATATTATTAATAAGCCCTCAGTTTCTTTCAATATGACTGTTTCTCTTACAGATTCATTATTTTGTTGTTCTGCTTTAAGCTTTTTTACTGTTTATTCATATTTATTTTAATTTCTAGCGGTAAACCACTGCTCTGTTTTTGTAAAATATGTGTTGTTTGTTCAATATACAACTTTTAAATAAACGAAATAGTTATGATACGTTGAAAAAAAAAAGAACTGTATAATTAATTTGAAAACGACTATCTAATCACATTTTCTGGTAAATATAAAACTGAAAATATGTTTTCAGTTAATATTTTCACACAACACACTGTTAACTATGAGTGATATGAAAGCAAGTACATATAGTTGAAAGATATACAGCTACACAAATATACTCTAAAATGTTTCCACATTTTAAGTCAGGTTTAAAACTATTAGACAAATATTGTAAATGAACAAGATCTCGCCAATTTACATACAGGTTTAAAACTATTAAATATATTTTAGACAAATATTGTAAGTGAACAAGGTCTCGCCAATTTACATACAGGTTTAAAACTATTAAATATATTTTAGACAAATATTGTAAGTGAACAAGGTCTCGTCAATTTACATACAGGTTTAAAACTATTAAATATATTTTAGACAAATATTGTAAGTGAACAAGGTCTCGTCAATTTACATACCCAGTATTCTTAAATGAAGTTCTTGTTCTGCTATTCGGCCATCCTCTCCTTTAGCTTTGCATGCGTATCTTCCCTGATCTTCCAGTCGATGGATCTTGCTAATCAAGAGTGTGCCGTTTGGAAACAGACTGTGTCTCCTTCCAAGTGGTAACTGTCGGGTACCTGGGAGGTAATTACTTAGTAAGTGGTAATAATGTGTTGAAAGTATGCTCTCCTTTAAAAACGCGAAAAAGAATTCATCTATAAATCATTATATTTATGAAAAATCAGACAATAAATTCTATCGGTAGAACAACTTTTTTTGCTAATAATAATCTAGAAATCACTTTTATTTATTCGAAAGTTATGTATTTCATATCAGTTATGTTACATTATTTACATAATGTGTGTACGAATTTGGTTAGTTCACAAATAAAGAATATTATGTTTTTAAATATTATGAAAGGCAATGCAGTTAGGAAGATTTTACTACAAGATAATTTTGTAGAAAAGTTATGGATAATCACCTCAATATTTTGCGATGACAACAGCTTGAAGTTCTACTTATATGAATATTACTGCGCTTTCTGTCTTTTTTTTCTCGTTCTCATTTGGAAGTACATATATTTAGTCTAGCTTTTGAAAACAGGTTATTTGAAAAATTTATTATCATCGTGCTTTTCAGATAATTGGAATTTAGCATAAGAAACAGAAACACATCTTCTATGTAAGAAATATAAACACATCTTCTATGTTAGATATCTAATAAATTTAAAAGTCAGTACAAGGAACCGCTCAATATATGTATATATATATACTAGTTAAACGTAGATATGTATTCGACATTTTCAGTAATAGATAAATTTAACCATGATGTAATACGAATATTCGGAACTGTAGTGAGTCGTGGAATTATATGCACTTAAACATATGTTAAATCTACAGTATTTTATTCCTGAATTTTGAACGACCTGAATACGGTCTTCATCGATCTAAGTTCGCCCGGACATAAGACCATTTGATTTCTTATTCTTATGCAATATTAGCATAAAACCATACATCACCCAAATAGGCTATTTCCCAAAATCTTTAAGCATTAACATTTTATTCTACACGCTTCTCAGAGATTTGTATCAGAAAAAAAGTTATTTTGATATAAGCATCTGTATCTTTTTGTTTTTCACTTCTTTCTGATGCTAGGTTTATGTAAATATCACCAGCCTTTCTTCTTTTAGAGCTGTAGTCTGAGAGTTGAAAAAATTACGAGCTTTAAAATACAATAAAACTTGAAAGAAAAACATATAGATAGACAGAAAAGCACAAATGAACAAACAAACTCAGACTTAATATAACTTGAGACACTAAAAACGTTACTAATAACTTGAGACACTAATAATAGAGCAAAACCTAAGTATTTTTCCATCCACAATTCTTTGAAACTGCCTATCTATCTTTTCCTTTATTTTCATTTTTAAAACCTCTGCCTGAAGAAACTGAAATCTTGATATTCACCACAGCCTAAAGTTTTAGAATCTAAAATTATGTTAAAGTATTGTGAAATACATTAACTAATAAAGTTGTAAAACAATTATTTTAAAATAAACAAGTAGTTTGTTAGATTAAATAACATTAACTACGCTTACCTTGGTGTAAAACCATTTAATTGAAAAGTTCGTCTTAAATAAATTATTTTGGTAATAGTTTTGTGAATTATTTCTTCTTAATTTTTGTTCAACCTGTATCATAAAATATCGAAATATAAAATAATATTAATTGTTTTTAACGTCAACCTTATTGACTATTACGTTAACACGTTAAAACAAGTTAAACAGTAAGGTGATGTTTAGTCTAAAATTTCTAGCTTATTGTCTTTTGTTTATTTTAATGATTTCTATTAAAATAGCAAAGAGCAAATCAGGCCTGTTGTATGATTGTAAGCTGAAGTTGCAGTTATGAGTTGGTAAAGGGAAATTATTGGCAAGAACGTTTTAAAGTGTATTTTATTTCTTAACTTCAAGCATTTTCCAATATCAAGATATCCTGTTTGATAATAGTTTGTTATGAATTTCGCGCAAAGCTACATGAGGGATATTTGCATCAGCTGTCCCTAATTTAGCAGTGTAAGACTATAGGGAAATCACCACCGCCAACTCTTGGGCTACTCCTTTACCAACAACAAAAAACGGGATTAACCATCACGAGCCACTGAAAGGACGAGCACGTTTGTATAACGGGAATTCGAACCCACGACCTGCAGACTACGAGTCGAGCTATGGTGTATCTCAAACTGTTATTATATTTCTATAAGAAATATAAAATTTAAATTGGTATCTTAAAAATAAGTTTCACACGCATCATTAAAAATATTTAAGATATAAATGTAAATTAAAGGTAGAATATTATGTTCACAGAACTTTTATAGCTGCCTGAGACTCTTCAGATTTGATAAAAAAAGTTTCAGATTTCATTATCCCCATTGATCACTGCTATGTGAGATATTTGAATATCTTAAGATTGTAAATAATAAACCAAACCTAAACCTTTTCATCATAGGCACATTTTGATTTTCAAATGTCAAAGACGAACAACTAAGTTTACACAGTCTTTTTAGCTCTCCCCACCCACTAAACAAAGACTTTTACTGTATGAAACTAAAGGAAACATATTTAGACCCATTTCTACCTGTTGCTATCTTGTTAAAGTGGCTGTTTAGGGTAATAATGGTACCATTTTTATTTCACTCAGATTACATTCAAAATTCCGTATTTTCTCAGGCCATGACAAGATGAGTATTTTGTATTTGTTTCATGCATGACAAGTTGGCGTTTCGTATTTCTTTCAGACTTTTACAGGATTATGCTTATATCGTCGTTTTGATATGACATATTTATGTCGCTAATTATATTTCAGCAAACGTAATGGTTATATAAGAAATATTTTATTTTAGTTTTAATGAATTATATTCAGCGAACTGATAAGTTTTAGTACTGAACTAAAACATCTTGGGCAGCCTCATTTAGCAATTAAAAGACCGATTTAAAAAAAAAACAATTTTTGCACGCTTCTGACTTTAAACTTGCAATTAACTAATTAAGAAAAAATTTAAAAAAATCTACAGTTTAGTATGACTATTAAAGTCTATTGGTTTTATTGCTGTTTAACTGGCTTTCAGCGTTTAATGCCGTAAAATTACCGTTTACGTATTACTTCAGAAATAGCATTTTAAATTGGCTTATTTGTCATAGCATTCAGCTCTGTTGAAGAGATTTGGCATTGAACAAAAGGCCTCCTGGAAAGCAACATGTACCTAAAAAAAACAGATTTCAAATGCTATTTTTCACACATCTGACTTCCTTGCCATGATGGACTAACTGAGAGGAATGCAGATAAATGATGTTTTGTCACGAATATCAGGCCAAATGGTAATTCCAACTTAAATTATCACAGAGCACTGTGACCATCATCTCAGATATGCATAATAACTGTAAAAATCAACTTACCCTATTATGTAACAACTTGATAACACAGTTAGCAAATGTTATACACTTTACAAATACTTTTCGAATTATTATTATTATTACTTTAAAACAAACAAATTAAACACACCTTTTTCCCATGTGATCTGTTTAATTGGATATCCTCCAACGGGGCAGTTGAGTAGCACGTTAGTACCGCCCACAACAGTTTTATTTTTCATTGGACGAATTACAGGAGGACCAGCGACATTTATACGTGCTTCGTGAGATACTACTCCATTATCGTTCGCTGCTGTACACTGGTAAATTCCACCATCTATGATTTTGATTCGAGTAAAGTTCACGAAGCTGATGACATCTCCATCTTTGCTAACATAATCTCCAACTCTGACTCTATTGCTATCCTGTACTGGTTCGAGATACGTCGACCATGTTATCTGGGGTAGAGGGTTTCCCGCTGCTATGCAGGTTAAAGAGACCTGGGACCCAGGATTTACAACTTGACTAGGAAAGCGTGATTTCAGTACAGGGGGTTTTGCTAGAGGGGAGGAACAGAAGGATGAAATGTTACATATTTTCATTGCCTGAGAGTAGAAGAAAGAACAAGTTGCTTTTATTAATATTTTTAAGTTATGATATAAAGATATTTCAATATAAATAGCTAATAATATGAGAGAATGTCGACGATCTGTTCAAGAAAACCTGCGAAAACCTATGGGCTTCAGGATTATTTGTAATGGGAATCCCTGTTAAAACTTTCACTGGTAACTTAATATACATATTTATAAATTATGTAATCATAACATTGCGCCGTTATTATATGTTTGGCGGTCTTCTTATTATTTTCATATATATGTGGGTTTATAGCTCTAAAAATTGAGTTTTTATACCCGCTGTGAGCACACCACAGATATTCCATTGTGTAGCTTTGCACTTAATGACAAAAATCTTATGGAACGTATGTGCTAGAGATGATAGTAATTTTGACATTAACTTTTACACAGTGCATGAATCTTTGGTGTACAATTATCTGTATACATATGAAAATTAGAATTGAATGAGATTCTAGAAAAGGGGTGACGAACCTCTGATGCATGTGTCAAAAGTGTCATGTTCACTTGAAAAAAGCACACACAATCGGCTTTCACAATAAGCACAAAATAATTCCCCCTATCTAAATATTGCAGGTGAGGTTGTGTGTTGAAGCAGTATTTCATTTAAACAGACCCTTTTTTAGAAAAGTGGGTAGTTTTTTGACGTGAATAATCTGCAACAATGCTGTGTGTTGTGTCTCATTCACAGTAATAAACCAAATAATACACTGCTGTAGCTAAACCCCAATATCACAAAACCTTCCTTTTTAAAGCAATGGTAAAAGTCACACTGAAACTTCTAGCGGTTTCTCACATTTAGGAAGTCATAAAATCCCTGACGAGTAAAAGCTTAACACTTAGTTGTAAAAGGGTTCATAACCCCTAATTCTGGAATACCCGTAGTTAAAGGTCGTGAACTAGAGACTGGGTTGAGATAATTTCAAAGTTTTTTAGCTAGACTTAAATCTAAGAGTTTGTTTGTTTGGTTTGAATTTCGCGCAAAGCTACACGAAAGCTATCTGCGCTAACCGTCCCTAATGTAGCAGTGAAAGGCTAGAGGGAAGGCAGCTAGTAATCACTACCCACCGCCAACTTTTGGGCTACTCTTTTACCAACGATTGGCCGTCACATTATAACGCCTCCACAGCTGAAAGGGCGAGCATGTTTGGTGGGACGGGGATTCGAACCTGCGACCCTCAGATTGCGAGTCGAGCGCCCTAACCACCTGGCGAAATTTAAGAGACTGAAGTTGAGTGAAGAATAATGAACGTGGGCAAAGATGTGAACGTGGTTGAAATAATACTGTCATTTTTTTAATGGCCAATGTTAAGTAATTCTACTCTTGACCCTTTTAATGTTACAAAGTACTGCGAAATCACATTCTACTGGTGTATATAAAAGTGAGACACACACGATTTTGTTCAAAACAATTGTAGCTATCACAATTTATAAAGGATAGAAGATGAAAATGAAATACTTATAACACTGAACTATAAAATGATATAAACAGTTAGATAAATTCGATAACGAGGAACCCACTTTGAGACTAATAATGGCTGGAGACGGCTTGAATGGGTAATGAAGAAA